GAGGCAGGAGACTCTCTTGAGCCCAGGAGTTGGAGGTTGCTGTGAGCTGTAATGCCACGGCACTCTACCCAGGGGGACAGCTTGAGGCTCTGTCTGAAAAAAAAAAAAAAAATGTTGCTTTAGTTGTATATATCCATTTATTCCTTTGGTAAGTGGAATTTATTGGTACATTATCAGAGTATTCATAATGTGGTCCATTTATCTTGCTAGGTGGTATAGAGAGAATGGACAGTATTAATAATTTCGTTTATTTATATTGACATGGATTCACTGAAGAAAATGCAGCTAATAAAAATTACTCCAATTCACTAGGAGTCAGGGAACTGTAAAGAACAATGAGATCTCATATTAAGCCCCCTTGTCAGATTAGAAAATATTAAAAGGAGTTATAATATCCATGTTGTAGGAAATGTGGCAAAGTCTTCGTTTAACATGCCGATGAGATGTGAATGTTACAGCCTTTTGAAAAAGCAGTGCTGGGATTACAAGCATGAGCCACTGAGTCCAGCCTAAAGTATATGATTTTATATATCTTACTTATTTTTACATGAAAGGATATAATTTAATTGAAGGGTTTGAGGAATCTGAAGAGGGAGTTCAGAGAGGGAGATATTTCATAATAAAAATAGCATCTATGAAATCCCTTTAAATGTGAAATTGTGTGTATATGTCATAGATGGGAGGTCAACAACATCTCGATGGTGATTTGATTGAGGTGGTTGGATTCTGACTGACCCTTGTAGAACTATATTTGAATGTATCATTCATATTCTTTATGAGGAACACACATTTTCATATCTGGAGGAAAGTCTATAGGTATAGTAGGGGGAAAGTAGCATGGATGGACTCAGCTGCCCTCAGCTATAAGATGACCTGGTCCATCCACATGTGTAGTTACCCACTTAGTGTTCATCAGGAAGAGATGCTTCCATCTCATCTTAACATCACTTGAGCAGATAATGCTGTTACTATCGATGTCCTTGTGGAATTTACATATACTGCTGATTTCTGGTTTTGATTTGGAAACTTTTGTACACCTTTTAGGCAAAAATAATGTGTTCCTCAATATGCAAATGTATTGGCTGTAAGAATTTTGAAGAAAGCCCAGAAAGAAAGACCTTGATGCACTTGGCAGATGCGGCTGAAGTAAGGGTACAGCAGCAAACTGCAGCAAAGACCAAGTTATCTTCTCAGATTTCGGACTTGCTTACTAGGCCAACACCTGCTTTGAATAGTGGAGGAGGAAAGTAAGTTAATTTGTTTACTTCTTACAGTATTTCTCTGATATGCTCAGATATTTTTGGTAAAATTTCTTTTTGGGAAACAAACTTGAGTTCATTAACTTGGTTGTTGCAAATGTGATTTTTGCCTTTTCTTTCCACCTTTAGTTATTTGCTGTAAATGAATTTAATGGTAACAGAAAAACCACTGTCCAGATATATTGTGCAATTCTAAAATACATATTAATGCTTTAATTCACTATGCTTAATTTAATTGGATTTCTCCCTATTAAGATGAAATAATTATGTAATTTGAGAACTCCTTAAGAAAACCAATTTTTTTTTTGAGACAGAGACTCAAGTTGTCACCCTGGGTAGTGCCATGGCATCATAGCTCACAGCAACCTCCAACTCGGGCTCAAGCGATCCTCTTGCCTCAGTTTTTCTATTTTAGCCGAAAAAAGGTCTCAAACCTCTGAGCAATCCACTGGCCTGTCTCCCAGAGTGAGAAAACCAAATCTTTTATACGCCTCACTGATACTGTGATTATTGTTTTTTTGCATTTTCTTTCTTTTTTTTTGAGACAGAGCCTCAAGCTGTCACCCTGGGTAGAGTGCTTTGGCATCACAGTTCACAGCAACCTCCATCTCCTGGGCTCAAGCAATTCTTCTGCTTCTGCCTCCCAAGTAGCTGG